TGCTGGGGGATCGAACCGCGGTCCCTGTGCTTTGCCAAGCTTGTTCCAAGTAGGTGCTTTAGACCACTGAGCCATCTCTCCAGCCCCCCTATATATAATTTTATAGAGAGCTCTTTCTGGTCCTCGTCTTAGTCTGGGAAGTTCATATTTGTAATTCCATGGATGAGTTATTGGAATCCCATGAAGCTAATTCCAATCTACCACACCCAGTGCAACTCATGGTGAGAATAAAGATGCTAAGGCATATTTGTAGTTTTGGAGAGCCAAGTGGTCCCAAGTCTAGCCATGAGGATGGCTGTCTGGAACAAAAGGCCTCCACCAAGTCCTAACCTGGTTTCATTCACTCTTGAAGAAAGGAATGGCTTGAGGATGAGTGACTGTGAGACTGACCAGAAACATGTGAGTGCCAAGAGCTGGGCTAGGTAGGAGGCCTGCATTTACCTCAGCCATGTGCAGAGAGAAGGATATGCAGAAAGTGTAATCTCCATTACACAACTGAGATAGTATCTGATGTTTTGGGGCTGGTGCTTCAGCCCTGGTGTGTAGTCTTTAAGCCCCAGGAAGTCTTAGCCTCTCTCTTGAGGAGGCTCTATCTCAAGGCTCGATCCCAGCAACTACGTGGCACACTGGCTTTTCATCCCTCCTCAATCTAGTTCACACTAGGGAGCAGCAGATGGGTGGTGGTGGGGTTTCCATGCTGGGGTTCAAATACAGGGCTTTACTCATGCCAAGCTGGCCCTGGAATCTCAGGTGTGCTTTGCCTGCCACACCTATAATCCCAATGCTAGGGAGGCTGAGATAGGAGTCCAAACTATGAGTCTATCACTATGAGTCCGCTCCTGCCATCTTAATCTTTTATTTGGTACAGCTTCTCATTATGAAGCTTGGACTGGTAGTGATCCTCCTTTTTCAGCCTCCCTAGCACTGGGATTATAGGCATGTGCCACCACACCCAGTTTTGGTGGCTGGCATGGCAGGTGGAACTGGGAACCACACCCAGGTCCTTGTGCTAGCCAGGCAGGTGCTTACACCACTGAGCTATCTCCCCAGCCACACCTGCTGACGACCACCAGCACCTCAGCTGGAAGGATATACATTGCTGAAAGCCAAGTGAAGGACTAAGGAAAAGCCCTAGCCAGCTCTGTGCACACCAATACATGGAAATAGGGTCAGGCTCAGCCAACATGGAGACAGTTGCTCTTCTTTCAAGGAAGAGTTGTTCAGGTGGTCCTCCACATACTCTGTAATACCTATAATAGACTATAAAATATGTTTTTGTTTTGATTTTCTTCTTTCCCCCTCTCTTTTCTTTTTTTTCCATGCTGGGGTTCAAATACAGGGCTTTAAAGTAAGCACTTGACCACTGAGCTACCTCCTCCAGGCTAATTCTTGTGATTCTTTTTGTTTTTTTCTAATTTAAATTTTTATTACTACATGTTTGCAGAACATAATAATTACATCAATCATGAAGAGTTGGTAAATGTGTATAACATCTCTCTCTCTCTCTCTCTCTCTCTCTCTCTCTCTCTCTCTCTCTCTGCCCCCCCAACAAACTTGATATGTAGTTGTAGTCTGGGTGGTCCTCAAGCTAACAATCCTCTTACCTCAATATCCTGAGTGCTACAGGATTACAGGCACACACTTCCACACCTGGTTAATTTCTGTGATTTCTAATGACAAAGTCACAGGTATTGCTAGAATTACTATAATTTATTACTGACATTCATAATCAAGGGAAACGTTAAGTTTCGGGTAGAGATGAGAAGAAATAGAGATTCATTTTTTTTCCTCCAAGTTCATGGATCCACAAGTTCTAATCCATTTTAGAACCCTCATAGAATGTGACTTTGGTGGGGATTAATTCCTGTGTCCATTCCCACTAATTGTTGCCCACCTTAGAGTGGTTAAACTTTGTTGTGTGGAGAG